AAGGCAAAGAAGGCGCCCAGCGCGTCTTCAGCCAACACTGCAAACCTTAGCCCAAGTGCAGCTGCTTTCCCAGGAACACCCCAGGCGGGAGCACCGACCGAGTCCGTTCCCTGGCTGCAGGGCAGGCGGCAGGGCGGTGGCCTCGGGAGCCCGGGAGCGCGGGAGCCGAGCTGTTCTTCCAGGAAAGGGGCCGGCATCTCCGGCACCTCTTTTTGGGTTAGGGACATAAAGCAGGGGTCCGGGGCTCACCGAGGTGCGGCCCTGGCGGCCCCCCTGCTGTTGGCTGAGAACCAGAGGAGAGGAAGGGGGGTCAGCCGGGAGCTGAGCCCTGCACTGGAAAATCTCAAGTCCTTCCTCCCCGAACTCAGCGTGCCCCGGGGCCTAGCAAACGCAAACGCAGTGACGCTGCACCCTTGGCCTTCACTATTTCTTCACATGAAACTTAAACTCCTCGCCAACACATGAGTAAAGATGGCTAGAAACACACCATGACTGAACCAGCAGAAAAACAACAAGGATACATCCAGATACTCCAATCCAGAAACTATAAAGGGAGTGTGCTCATTGTACTCAAAGGGATAAAACCAGGCTTGCACATTTTTTTGCAACAACTGGGCACTATAAATTTGACAAGGAGATCTTTTTAAAAGAACCATTAAAAATCCTCTAGAACTGAAAAAATATTATTGAATGGCTTTAGTAACAATTTAGACCCAAAGAGAGAATCCATGGATACAGTAGAGGTCAAAATAAAAGGATGCTGAGAAAATATGTATAATGCATACACACATACATATACACTCTCCTCCTTCGCTTCCTCCTTCTCTTCCTCACCCCCTCCCCATTTTATGGACATCTTTACCTTTGTTTTCTTCTGGACAGTCTTGCAGTGCAGCCCAGACTGACAAACTCACGATCCTCCAGCCTCAGCTTCCCAAGTGCAGGGATTACAGATGTGTGCCATCACATCGGACTTTTATTTCAGTTTTGAAAAAATAATGTAGTAATAGGCACAAGACTTAGCTTCTACCTGAAACAACCCAAAAATACTGAAATAAGAAAAATGTAGAAAACTTGTTTTCAAAACTTCAACACCAACAATGAATGTTAGTGAGCCCAGGCCATGATTACCTCACTTTCCAGAACGCAGCTCAGAGGAGCGTAGATGGAGAGGAGAGTGAGCTTCTAGCACAGGAGCCTGGGGACATCCTCGAGCTGAGTGCCAGCTGGAAGTGTGTCTGTCTAGATTCAGTACCGTTCACCCGCAGGGCACTTTCCCTATGTCCATCCAGCATGCAGCAGTGGAGCTGACTGTGTTGTTGCAGTCAGCACAGCATGGGCGATCTGAGATCTCAAAGATGAGCAAGTCCTCCATCACACCTTCTCAGAACCACAGAATCCAGAATCGGGAAGAATCGCTAGGCCTTTAGATTAAAAGTAGGTAAGATCCGGGGCTGGGAATGTGGCTCAATGGCTGAGTGCTTGCCTTGCATACATGAGGCCCTGGGTTCCATTCCTCAGCACCCCATAAGCAGAAAAAGCCAGAAGCTGCGCTGTGGCTCAAGTGGTAGAGCGCTTGCCTTGAGCTGAAGAGCCGAGGGACAGCGCCCAGGGCCAGAGTTCAGCCAACGACCTGGGTGTGTGTGTGGCTGGGGTGTGGGGGTGGGAGGGACTAGATAGGATCCACAGATCTATAGTTAAGGAATGAGACCGCCATGGTCTGAGTCCTGCAGGCTGTCTGCCGGCGATCTGCTGAGGCCCAAATCAGAGACAGGGCTCTCTGGAGCTTCTCAGATCTGCCCTAGCTACAGAGTGGGGCAGCACCTCCCCACCTTGTCCTGCGTCCAGCGTCCACGGAAACCTGTGCTGCTGGCCCAGGACCTCCAGTGAGAGAGCCAGGTAGAAGCTGAAGCAGCCAGATGACCCTGCCCTGCCTCTGAAGTCTGTGGAGGCCACACTGGGTCTTTCTGGGTCTAAGTGTCCTGTGTGGTACTTTGCCAGGCTCTTTTTTTTTTTTTTTCCGGTTGTGGGGCTTGAACTTTGGGCCTGGGAACTGTCCCTGCGTTCTTCAGCTCAAGGATAGTGCTGTTCCACCTGAGCCACAGCACCACTTCCAGTTTTCTAGTGGTTTATTGGAGATAAGAGTCTCACAGCCTTTCCTGTCCCGCTGGCTTTGAACCTCCATCCTCAGATCTCAGCCTCCTGAGTAGCTAGGATGACAGGTGTGAGCCACCAGTGCCTTGCTTGCCAGGCTCCTTTTTAAAAAGGTATGCTAAGAATCCAGATGTGTTTCTGGACACAACACACTCCCCACCCTGAACTGTAGCTCAAAAAATTCCTGCTGTTTTTATTTTTGGTTCCTTTCTCAGTGGGATAGCTCTTGTAGACTGACCTTTTCCGTTCTTTTAGAGTCCAGGAATATAGCTGAAGATGTGAATGAACTCTCCCTCCCTCTTTCCTTTGTGTAGGAGGTTGAACCCAGGGCTTTGCACATGCTGGTTGCTAAAACTTTTAGGTGGATTGTTTCTTTATCCATATCTCTTCGAGTTTTGGTTGAAATGTGCTCTGTCAGATGTATGTGTACGGACTCCTCTTGTGTTCAGATTCCTTTTGCTTGGAACGTCATTTTCCATCTTTCACTTTTAGTCTATGTGTGTCTTTACAAAATGCATAGATTCTATGGATACAATTTAATGATGTGTGACAAATTATTTCAACACTTCTGGTCGAGTTCTCTCAAAAGCTGCAGAATGTTTTACATTTTCCTAGAAATGTATGTTGGCTTTTTGTTGTTGTTGTTGGTTGTGGACCTGAACTCTGGGCCCAGGCACTGTCCCTCAACTCTTGGAGTCAAGGCGAGTGCTCTACCACTTGTGCCACAGCGCCACTTCCAGCTTTTTCTGCTTATGTGGTGCTGAGGAATCGAACCCAGGGCCTCATGCATGCAAGGCAAGCGCTCTACCACTGAGCCACCTTCCCAGCCCTGTGTTGGATTTTGCCATTCCCTCTTGGTGGGGCCATCAGTCGTGATCTGGAGGTGAGAAGCTCCTGTATGCTCTCACATCCCCACCTGGGCAAGAGGTGGGAAGGAATCAGGGAGGAAGAGGTCCCGGGGTCCATGGCCCCTGCAGCAGCAAGGGCTGCTTCGGATGGAAAATGCTGAAAGCGCTAAGCTGCTGTCCCTGTGCCCAGGTCATCTGGCCAGTCGTGTAGAGGCTGGGGCAGGAGAGTGGGACTGTGGGGCATTTTGGTGCTGGGTGTCCCTGAGGGTAGAGCTGGACCACTTCAAGACCACGCCTTGAAGTCCTGGCAAGAATGTCGTTTCTCCCCATGAGGTTTGAGCCTGGGCAGTGGCATACTGGTGAGTTTTATGGTTAACTGTTCATGCTTGCAGGGAGAGTAGAGTGGGGACCAGCCAGACCAGGGCCTACCCAGCTTATTCCACCTGACGCGCGTGTGTGTGTGTGTGTGCGCGCGTGTGCACGCGTGTGTGCGTGCACGTGTGCGCGTGTGCCCTGTGCTTTGCTTGTACCTATGGATTCTCTGTCATGGGCAGACACACTTTCTGGTTTAGGAAGACCACTTGGTTGACCTCAGGCTCCACCAGCACCCTCACACAGAACAGCTTGTGACACGACAGTTTCCTTTGCTCTCCAGCAGACCATCTGTGCCTTTCCTGGGCCTCGCCTCCTGATTGCACTCTGACCCCTTCCCTGGCCTATGAAGCCATTAGGCCGCTTGGTCACCGAGACAGGGATGGGATGGAGCTGAAGACATCCACACCCAAGACAGCAGAGGGTTGTGTGTTTGCTGGACGGCGCATGTCTGGAGCTGCGTGGGCAGCACCACACCCCTTGCACTGTGCAACAGGTGTACAGGGGTCATACTGGCAGAAAGAAACCTCCGGTTGGTGGAATGCAAAGATGTCTGCTCCAGATTTCACACAGCTCTGCATCCATCATCCCTGTAGCCTGGGAAAGCTTTAGGTCAATCCTGGGTATGCCTGACTTGGCAGGGCTCTTGGGCATCATTTACCCCAGGTGGAAATGCCCAGGTGCTAGGGACCAAATCCATTCCACAAAGAACATGAAGGCTTCTGCACGGTTTTGGGTGGAGAAGCTGCAGGAGAGAAAGCGGGTATTTGGGGTGGGGAGACTCAGCACCTGGATGGCATAAAGATGGAGACAGCACCTCATGGTGGCGCCACGGTGCTGTGGATGCTCAGCCCCAGCCCGGCTGCCCTGGGGGGCAGCTGTGTGGTCTGACTGCGGGTCCGGGCCTTCCTTGGGCCTTGGAACTGTGGGAGTCTGCCTCCAGAGACAGCACTTCTGGGTCTTCGCATCCCCTCTTCCCAGGGCCCCGGGGAGCCCGGTGTGTGCTTGGGCCCTCCACACACATGTCCATCGGTCATGGACCGTCCTGTGGTAGCCACACAGCTGATCATAGAAGATTCGGAGCTTCTTTAAATGTCAGTGGACACCTCTGTGAGGCTAGCCTGTCCCAAGCCCCACAGCTGTGCAGAGCCATGGCCTGATGTGTAGCTGGGGCCAGCAAGGCCCCAGGAGAAGCCCCACGGCACCTGCAGACAACCCAGCACCCCAGGACACCAGAAGTCCTCCAAAGGATCAGAGCCCTGGCTGTCCAGGGTCAGAAACAAGCAGCCCAAGACTGACTGCACACATGGCTTCCATCAGAGCCTGGCAAAAGGGGAGAGGCCGGCCAGAGCTTCCAGACGAAGACAACACACCCAACTCGGCCCAGCCCACCCAGCACTGCTGCCCGCCAGCTGTTGCCTTTGAACCTAGGGGAAAATGGGAGGCAGATGCCTGTGGTCGGAAAAGCGTGTGCAGGTGGGGCTCTGTCCTCCAGCAAGATGGAGATAGAGCGGGACTGGCTGCCAGGACATCCCTTGACAGCCACACTGCATCCAGAGCCAGTGAGCAGGTCCAGAGCCAGTGAGCAGGTCCAGAGCCAGTGAGCAGGTCCGGAGCCAGTGAGCAGGTCCGGAGCCACTGAGCAGGTCCGGAGCCACTGAGCAGGTCCGGAGCTAGTGAGCAGGTACAGAGCCACTGAGCAGGTCCAGAGCCAGTGAGCAGGTACAGAGCCAGTGAGCAGGTCCGGAGGCACTGAGCAGGTCCAGAGGCACTGAGCAGGTCCGGAGCCAGTGAGCAGGTACAGAGTCACTGAGCAGGTCCGG